TATTCGAGAAATTTAACAAAATGTAAAAAAATAATTTTTTATAAAAATTGTTTGAATAAAAGTTGTTTATAATATAATTCTCTATAATTTTTATTCCACACATAATTTCTCTAAAATTAACCGTATTCAAGATATTTGAAAAATTGTGTAAATTTCGAATTTTGAAGAAAACTCAAAAAAGGATAAAGGAAAAAACATTAAATTTTAAACTTAAGTTTTATTTCGGCCTGACGTGAAATGATTAGATTTAGGACAAAGTCGGAACATCTGGGGGGTACTTTTATGGGAGGCCGTTTTTGTATTTTATGGAATATATCTGTTATTTATGTATTTATGTTTGGAGAAGAAAATTCTTCAAAAAAGTTACTTCTAATATTATTATCTATAATTTTTGCTTTATGTCAAATTTTTCTGAAATGGTCCGTATTCGAGAAATTTGACAGAATATGCAAAATTCTGATTTTTAAGAAAATTGTTAAACTAAAATAAATATCTATAGAAAAATATTTCGAGTTAGATGTATGTGGAAAATGTATATATTTAGTTTATCCTCTAAACATTTATAGAGGTGCTAGAATAGGTTGTACAAAATAACCAGAAAAAGCCTATAATAACTAGATTGGAAAGTCATGTGTTGGACACATCAAATTTTTTTTTTTTCGAAAACGACATTTCAAAGCAAAAACCATAAAGGAAAATAAATTCTTTGCAAATAAAACAAAACTATAAAATAATTTAGAAAAATGAATTTTTTTAAAAGAAATAAATGAATACGAACTAATAAAATGTTAACAATGACTCTCGGATTACCAATACTTACCATTACCAATGAAAAATAAGAAAGTTAATTCGAATCTAAATCTGAACCATCTGTCGAGGAATCAAGGTTTGGATATATAACTACTGGAGCTATAGAAGGTAAAATATGATAGTCTTTTTCCTTTTTAGGACGTGACTAATGCAAATTTTCCAAACGTCAATCAAAGACGGATCTTTAAAAACGCCATTAATATTTTCCAAATCAAATTTATTAAGGTAGGTGCAATATTATTACGTCTCAGTTTTTGTTTAACTGAATACCAAACTAATTCAATTGGATTAAGTACACAATATTAAGGTGGTAACCTTAATACAGTATGACCATCATCTTTTGCAAAATTATCAATATAATACTGTATTGGAATATTACTTTAACAATTAGTAACAATTGTGGTTTTGTTTTTACGGAAGCAGGACTATCAATGTTATTATCTTTTGAATACTTTGATATATCGGATTTCTTAGAGTCACTACTTAGCTTCTTGTGAATTTGATGGGAATGATATGGCGTATTGTCCATTACAATGACTGAATTAGTTGGAATATTCGGTAAAAGTTGTTCAGCAAACCAGTTCTTAAAAACTACTGCATTCATATCTTCATGATAAACCAGCAGAGCTTTATTGACATATTTTGCTGAAAGTAGCGAAGCGTTTGCTACAAAGCCATTTTCATTTCCGGCATGTAAAATTATCATCTACATCTACCTCAAAAGGTCTCCAGAAAGCATCTCGTATAACACAAATCAAAATTTAACAGAAACACCGAAAAATAGAAACAAGTTTATAACAAACGCTTTGGGAAAATTTTTCAAACCGTGCACGCTACTGATCAAAGATAAAACAACTAAAGCAGTCAGGCGAGCCAGCAATTCTGGCCGCTCACTTGTGGACTTAACATCAACTGTAGGTGCGTAGATGTTTAAAACTTAAGTGTGCCACATCAGAGGCTATACCAAGACGGTTCACGCTTATTTGCAATGTGAGGGTATAGAATTTGTAGCATTCGCATGGCATGTAACGCGAATTATTACGCAATCCCGGTACAAACACCTGTATTGGATTGACTCTGGAAACACTATAAAAACAAATCTAGAACTAGTCATATCGAGGTTGAACCTACATAGCTAAATCTTATATTTTTTTATTTTTATTTTATTTTTACGCACTCTGTACAACAAAATCGAAGTTTCTCGACTTGAAGCGTGTTTCTTTAACAATCAAAAGAAATTACCTAAAACGATTTACATTTTTAATTTTAAAATAAATATTTTTATAAAAATATTTGTCCATCCGTAAACACACTATATTTTTTATTAAAAATAATAATGGTTGAATTTACAAAAAAAATATTGTACTACATACCATCACCTACTAGATTTGACTTTACTTTGGATATATTTTTTTAGTTTAAATAATGCAGTCTATCCCAGCAAATCTTGTAATACAGAATTTCGGCGTTTATGTTCAAGCCCAGAGTCCTTCTCAATCGATTTGTTTGCGAATATACTGAAACAAGTTGCTACATAATTTTGTAAAGAATTGTGGCGCTATTCGAATGAAAATACTTTGAAGGTTTTTTTTTATTAACAAATTATATTCACAGCAGAAAATATTTTAAAATAAATTACAATTATCAGACCTGTTTAACGTTGTTATGTTTTGTAAATTTAGTATTAGAATGAAGTAACAATTATTTCACAACCAATTATGCTAAAGATTTGTGGTATTTGGTATTCCTAATTTTATTGTTTCTAATGTTTACAAATAAACTACTAAATTAGAAATGTTAACCTTATATTTTACAACTAGAGTAAGACGTTTTATGAGGAATACTTCTTTTTTATTACTGAATGAAGAAACAATTACATAACAGACATGGGTAAAACAAGGTAGGTGGGTAAAACTATTTTTAACCAAAATGTCAAGGCAAACAGAATAAAATAGTTAACATGCGACGAAAATGGAGTAAATTAAATTCAAATGACATTATATATTCTAACTTCTATTTGGTAACGTATGTACCATTATTAAATAATTCTGTTTTTCTTTATTTTTAGTTACGTTAAGAACATTTAATCCAACAGTAAACATCGTAATAATTTGATTGATCACTTCTTGTTAATTAAGAAAACTGGTAAATTTCTATAATTAATAAGAGACCTGCCAAAAATGAATAGTAACAAATACAGGGCACTTTTTAAAACTGTGTCATTTGCAAATTTCATAACCCTGATTGGTAAATGATATAACTACGCAGTAGAAAGTAAATATCAGAAGGTGGTGCCTAAAAGAAGGATTGTCTACAAACCGGACAAAAACATCTGTTGTGACGTTTACAAGAAAAAGGAACATGCAATGTATTAGCTTTATAAGTGGGGAAACTGGGGAAGGAAGTTAAATATCTTGTAATCATCATTAGCTTCTGCAACCATATAGAAAAAGCATGAAAATCTATAAAAGTACTATGGACCTGTAGATAAATGATGAGAAAAATAAGTGGGCTTAAACCAAGTATGATGTAATAGATTTTTGTTAAGGTTCTAGTACCCGTTGTAACCTGCTCATCAGTCATATGATAGCACACGACTAAAAGCATAATCGCTAACATAATTAGATGAGGTAATAAGACTGTCCTAATAATAACAGATGCTTTTATAAGTACACATACTACAGCAATGGAGCTACTGTTAGGTCTTACTCCATTTCAACTCCTCACAATGATATTAGAAAAATTGAAACAAAATTCATTGTTAATAATGACATCGGATAGAATACATATTATTCACGACTTTATGAAACATTTCAATTTTAAAATACCTTCCAGGCTGAAGTAACATTAATAAATGCCTGTAACTAGATTATGATAAATAACCGTCATAGAAATAAGACTATAACAGAGAACAGGCAACCCTTAAAGCACTGCCAAGTACAATCCAAAGTACTATTGGTGTGCCAACAGTCCTTTTAGGTCCCAACAGAACATAATAAGGTCATTCTTGAATGAGTTCCAAGATGTGAGAAACGGTAAAGTAGAGCTCTGCTATCCAAGAAGGAAATTGAGCAAAATCTAACTGGACTAAAACCCACATGTGGTACTTTATATCAGTATGTTAAAGGAGTGCTAACAAAATAAGTAACTACAGCTCTGGTTGAAACCCGGTCTGAGGTAAGTCCAGGTAAGTTTAGTAAGTCCAGTAAGTCCAGCAAGTCCGGTATGTACACACATATAAAACTCTAAAATTATTATTATTATTATTATTATTATTATTATTATTATTATTATTGTTATTGGATGAACGGAATAATCGCGAAATTTTACAAAAAGCCACGACCAAAAATCACATAGCGTTAAATCACACGATTTCAGTGGCCAATTATTGCTGTCATTGCGGTAGATAATACTGTTGCACCAAATGGATTGTTTCTTGCGCAGTGTTAGGTTTATCCATCCTTCTGGAAACACATGTCTATCAATTCGGTTTACGAATGCTTATTATGCATAGTTTTATTAAAAAAATCAAATAGTTCATGATGATGTGGGTCCTACCTGTATATATATATATATATATATAATTTATAAAGAAATAACCATAGAAATGAAAAATGTTGAATGTCATGTAAAGATTAACAAAAAGTTGTCACTGTACGAAATAAAAATATTAAAAGTATTCTACATAATTTTCTTAAACGGTGGTTTCTTCCAAATAACTTCAATACATGACACGTCGATGTCTGATTTGAGAATAATAAATTTTAACTCTAAAAGAATAGTAAACGATAATTCAAAATATTGTTTTATGATCATCGTTTCTCGAATAATGTAACCTGGTTTCATTGCCACCAACTTAAAAATAATTTACGCCCTTTCTCTTTTTGAATTTGAACAATCTTATAAGCACAACGAGAGAGAGAATTTGAAATATTAAATATGTTGGCTTCATTTCTATCAAGGTTAGTTTTAAAATAACTGAGTGTTGAGTGAGATAAAATTATCGTTAGAGAATGATAGAGAACAAAGCCAATTGATTAAGGTCTTATTTTATAAACACCTGTTCTGAAAATGTATTGGACCAACAGGGCTAGTTTTGCAACAGATCAACATTTATTAAAATGCAAATAGCAAAATATTATTTTTCTGTATTTCTAAATAAAAAATTAATATTAAAAAAACACACTTACCATATTAAATGTACAGTAAAAAGGAATGCTCCTGGTACAACCAGATCGTCTGAACCTACACTCCATCTTCTTCGGAAAACCACTAATCCTGGCATATTCCGCACTTTTTTAGTGTTACACTTCCTTTCTCTTGTTCGTTTGTTTTAAATAATCACTAAATCGATAAAATCCGTTCGCAACGTCATGCCTCATGTTGTCTTCACTATAAGCACGCAATTATTTGCGCGATGTCACATTTTCCCAAAGAAAAAATCGAGTGTTTTGTAGCAGAATTGCACATTCTGTTTAAGTAGTAGCTTTTGACTACCTACATATTTTCGCACCTAGAACAAAAAGCGTAAATTAGTAGTTAATAGCATTCGAGATAATAAAACAATGCAATTACCACGTTTATACAGTACAGTAACACAGTAAATGATCCAAAAATAAGGCACGCTCAAAAACTTTAAAATAAATATGAGATATTATACAGTAAGTAATCATTATGAAGTCAATAAAAAATAATGTTTTTGAACAAAAATAATGTTTTTGAACGAGTGTACTCTGAATACAAATGCTGTAACTGACTATTTTAGTTATTCATACAATACAATCTAAAGACTTTCTATTTTTGACAAAATTTTGTAAACCTAAATAGGTACAAGGTGATTAATTATAAATTATCAACCCTATGTATAGTAGCATTGTTAAAAGGGTAATAAGTAGCATCTATGTTTGGTTTCAAAAAATCCTACATTCCAATAACATTAACAATAAGTTACTAAACCTAGAACTCTGCGATAACGAGTGATTGCGACAAGTGATGACGCAGCGTCTTCTTATTGTAATCGGACTCTAGAATGTGACTTAATTTATGTTTTATCTATTTTAAAATAGTATAATACATAACTATAGTGTAGAAAGTGGCATAGTTCGAACCAGTCGAGATTTAGAACAATTTCCAACGAATTATGTACACTATTTTTCCTACTATTATAACGTGCAAACCAACGGTTATTTTAAAGTTAACAAAATGTGCCTTATTAAAATTTAAGGCACTTTGACATTTTAGATTTATTTTTATAGTAAGAATGGTAAATAAAACTGAAATAAAAAAATTAAAAATACATAAGAAACAGTGGCTTTCCAATCCGGGGGTGCAAGGGGTACGGAGCACACACAGGTGGCAAGTCAAGGGGGCGGCGAAATAAACAAAACAACATTGACTTTAAAAACGCTATTACAAGTCGCAACAAGTCAAGAAATACTTTTTTTTAACACGTTTTAACTTATCATTAAAAAACCTAGATCACAAGCGTGTATCGCGACAATGCGCAGCCTTGCTAAATCGTCGATTGGCCGGTTGTGTCTGCAATGTTCTGGCAATTAGACGGACAAGATGGGGATGGCGTCGATGTTGGAGGTTGTTGACAGGTTGCAGGTAAATACTCGTTTATTCCCTCAGTCTATAAATACACCAGGATTCCGGATAATTTTTACTATATTATCTTTAAACATGTCAATCTCAAAAACTGAAAATAAAGCTTTTGGTACCCAATTTGTGCTCAATTTTGAGATGGCTGGATAAAAATATTCCAAAGTTAAGTAAACTTGATATTTTCTTTTGTAAGGTTGAAAATTAAAATACATTTATGGTGTTCTAATATTTATTTTGCAAAAAAAAAACGATTTATTACTTAATTCTATTTTATTTTAGGTGTTTTTATTTTGCAAATTTACTACTGTAACCACTCGGATGTTTCGTTTATCCCTAGGCTAGGACCACCCTGTCATGATTGACGAGTGCTACTCATATTTCGTAGAACGATACGTCGGACTGGGTCGCATAAGAATATTTGGTGATAAAGCACGGCATTCTTACATAGACATTCATTCGATACGTTTCATTTTATGTATTATTATTCTTAACACCGATTAAATTCGATTCTATATTAAAATCCGATTTAGTTCATTTAAAATTAATTAACATAGTTTACAGTTCAGGTGTGGGGTGAACTAACTGCTTACCTTTGTTATAGAAAAACGTACTTGTCGTAAGTGAAATACTTTATATAAGGCCGTGCAGAAAACTTAAGTTGTTACGTAACTAAAAAGGATACCATTAGTTAAGTTATTCAGTGATTCGTGTTAAGATAGTGTTAAGAACTTGGTATTTTGATCGTGTTAAGAACGATGAGCAAAGATTTTAGACTCTATAGGCGTACGATCTGAACGTAATTATATTCCGACGAGACGAGACAATAGTGACAATAGATCACCCTTTTACGAAGGGGGTCGTAAAAAGAAGCGATATTTAAGTATATCGCGAGAAAATATAGTACAAAGCACGTCTCATGGTTTATATTCCTGTTTCAGTCAACAAAGTACAAGTGTTACATACGAAGCTGGAATTAGACAATTAGAGACAGTAATAGAGAGAATGTCAAGACGAAATCCAAAGTCACCATCCAAAATGAAGGATCGACTCAAAAAAAAACAGAGGGTTTGATAAAGCCGTTCCTGAAAGTGGAGTTAGGTTATTCACTTTCGAATACAAGAAGTACTAATCCGTATACAAAACCTGATGTTTTAAATGTATGATAAATGTAAAAATAAATGTAATTTTTAGTCAAAGTTGTGCATAAATTTAAGTTAAAGACCAGCTGATGACAAAATAAGGGTGAGTCGAAACCAATTTTAATTTTATCTAATAATCAGGCGTTTAGTACTTGCTATTTTATTGATTGTGTTATTAAGGGTGAATATATACGAGGCTTTGTAGACTCGGGTTGTGATGCAGTTACAATTCGTGAATCGGATGCAGTTACAATTCGTGAATCGGATGCAGTCAAGTTGCATCTACAGGGTGAGCCCATATTAGTACGTTTGTGTGGTTATGCGGGAGACTTTGTTATAGTACTTTCAAAGGTTACGACAACTTTGAATATTGATTTAGCTACTTCTACCGTTGACGTACCGGATAATGTCTCTGTTATTGTAGGTTAGCCATTTTTAAATGATGATATGGTTACAGTTTTTGTTAAATGCAACCAAGTATGACATATTGTATTTTAAAATCACGTCAACGTTACACATATTAACGAGTCTTTGTCTAAGAAAATTAATTTATGTGTAGAAGAAACCACTATCATTCTGCAGAATTTTGTAGGGCTAATTAAAAATGAAAACGTTAAGGGTGTTTTTGTTGATCTAAGATATTTTTGTTGATCTAAGATGTTTTTGTTGATCTAAGATATTTTTGTAGATCTAAGATGTTTTTGTTGATTTAGGATATACAAATTAGGATAATAATTTTCATATTATTTTACCGTGTGTTATTAACATAATTGTTGCTGTATTCATGTTGCCAATATGTCCGATAAATCTGTTTGTTACGAAAAAGACAGAATACTTGCTAGAGGTTACACCTGTACCAGAGTTTCGAAGATACCTTTTAAAACTTGATAAGCAACAGATATTGCTGTATTACCAAATTTTACGTTATTCGATCTTGAGGAACAAACTAATTCAGTATTAAGTAGAATTGAACATTCTAAATTACATAAATTACTTAACGAGTGTGGCGATTGTTTCGCTACTAATTTACGAAAGGTTGCTAAAATGACTGTTACGGAAATGTCGATCATACTAAACGATAGGGAACCTGTAATGTACGGTTCATACTATATGACTTTTGATTTGGTAAATACTCCTGCTGTTATGTAAAGGGTTATGAACAAAATATTTAGACCCACAACGGAGAATTGATGATGAAGACCGGTGGATGGAGGATAAAGACCCATGACGGAGAGGAGGACGAAAGACCCCTAGAAAGAGGCAAGATGAGGAAACACTTGTAAAGGACGCCCAAATCGGAATGGAAGTCGGCACACCAAGGACACTGTAGCAGATTTTGTAGCACCTAAGGATATCAACGAAATTCGGCGATTTTAAAAATAAAGAAGCTAGTAGAACGATCCATGTATGCTATTTATAACAGATAAATGGAAACTGAAGAACATTGTGACACCAGTAAAGTCGGACAAGTAGGAATACTTCTATAACGTCAAAATGACAGCATTTTAGGCTAGTATAATATTTAGTAGAGCCACAACCAAAGAAGAGCAAAAATATTATTCATGAGCTTGAAATTTTGGCGGCTGTACGCGCATTTAAAAGTTCAGTTTAAAGTGGCATAAAGTTAAAATCGTCACCGATTGTAACTTACTTCGTAACACCCGTATGAAACGAGACTTAATTCTTCGCATCGCGAAATAGTGGTTATTAATTCAAGAATTCGATGTTGGTATTGAATACCGTGTTGCTACTAAGATCAGCCACGTAGATGATCTGAGTCGAAGTACTATTATATCCACGGATCAATCACTTGACGTAATCATTGTAAATATTAAGGAGGATGTCCGGATACTTTCAGCACAACTTCAAGACAACGCTTGTAATAATATTATGAATGTTTTGTCACGAGATCCTAGAGTAGCCCAATCGGATTAGTATTTTAGATTCTGAAAAATTGGAAGCAGCAATTTTCCTTCGGAATTCGTTGGAGGGGGTCTCTGGTAGTCTAAATTCAAAAAGTTGGGATTCCAAAGTTGTCGCTACCTCCGCCATCTTGATTTAAAGGGTTATTTTTTGTATCTTGAATAACTCATTTATTTTCAATTTTACAAGGAAAATAGTTTTTACAAAAGTTATTTAAAATTAAATTTCCTACAATTCTGCTTTTTTTTGTACGATCGATTTTTTCGATTTAAACCCGAAAAGAGGGGGTGAATTTTTGGTTATAGAATAACTCGTTTATTTTCAATTTTACGAGAAAAATTGTTATAAACAAAGTTGTTTAAAATTAAATTTCCTACAATTCTGCTTTTTTTTGTACGATCGATTTTTTTCGATTTATACCCGAAAAGAGGGGGTGAATTTTTGGTTATAGAATAACTCGTTTATTTTCAATTTTACGAGAAAAATTGTTATAAACAGAGTTGTTTAAAATTAAATTTCCTACAATTCTGCTTTTTTTTGTACGATCGATTTTTTTTCGATTTATACCCGAAAAGAGGGGGTGAATTTTTGGTTATAGAATAACTCGTTTATTTTCAATTTTACGAGAAAAATTGTTATAAACAAAGTTGTTTAAAATTAAATTTCCTACAATTCTGCTTTTTTTTGTACGATCTATTTTTTTCGATTTATACCCGAAAAGAGGGGGTGAATTTTTGGCTATAGAATAACTCGTTTATTTTCAATTTTACGAGAAAAATTGTTATAAACAAAGTTATTTAAAATTAAATTTCCTACAATTCTGCTTTTTTTTGTACGATCGATT